AATATTTATGTTTTAGTTGATACTTATTGGTTTTGGTGGCCGCCGTGTTGATTTTATGCAATATAAAGAATTGATGAGGTGCATCATAGTGGTGAAGGTGTATGTTGGTTTTCTTACTTCTCTCATTAGAATAAATTTTGGGGTTTCAGAGATGGTATTCTTCCATATGACCTATATCTATACAATGATGATGATATTGTGATGAAATTCTTAATGTGAAACTGTCTATTATATGAAAGAGAACTTCTGATTTATTTACCAAAAATATTATATTTACATAAAATAGAGGAGAGCTGCCTTTGACTTTGTACCCATTTCTTGGAAGATAGACCAGGGATGATTAATTGATTATATTGAAGAAAAACATATATTTGTGGGAAGTTTGCATGGTATTTTAGGTAACTCTTCAAGATAAATTGATGGACCACTCGTGTAAATGAGAAGTAATTCTTATCAAGTATGTGAAAATAGTCTAATTATGATGATGGACTAAGAAGCACGGACACGGATACGGGACACGGACACGGACACGGCAACACGGCAAATCCAAAAAAAAAATAGGATACGGACACGGCGGGGACACGGCGAATAGTGTGTGTGTATATATATATATATGTGATGTAGTACTTTAAAAATTACTGAGTGTTGCTATTTTTCATCAACCTCACAATGAAAAAAAAACACAAATCATAACTCATAACTAATAAACTATAAAAGAACAATGTGGCATAGTTATAAAACCAAATAAAAAACAAGACAGTAGAATAATAACTAGTATCATTTAATCATCATTGCAACTTTACTCCAAATACAAAAGCATAGACAGAAAGGACTATTAACATTCAGGACTTTACTGTTCACTTAACATTCACAAAAACCTAAAGGCTAGTCCCAAAAAAGATACAAAAACAAGTCAGTGTACTATCATCTATTCCCATCCATCATTTGACCTGGGACTTTTGCCATTTACAATACCAAAAGGGTAGTACAAAACAAAAAACAGAACATATCAGCATTAAAAATTAAAAAAAAAAAAAGAAAAAATTCCACACATTTTTTGGTGTGTCCGATACATGTCGGGGTGTGTCCGACGCGTGTCGGACACGGATTCTTTGCCCATTTTGGCGTGTCCGTGCTTCCTAGATGATGGAGAACAAGCTATGATTTTCATGCATGAGTCACACATCTGCCTTTACTTTTGGAGAAGGGGCAAAGATAAATGAAATTAGGGATTTGATATAATTATGATTAATTTTTATTTGTTTTTATTATTTTGATAATGTTTCAATTTTAGTGATATTTTAGTACTTTATTATGTTAGGGTTTGGTTATGATTTTGCCATATTAAGGCTTCTATGTAACTGAACAAATCAGCTTTTGGTTATCTAATTATTATCGTCAGTTTACAAACTCTCTTGTACCTCTCTTCCCTTCTTTGTTCTTGCTATTCTCAACCCTCAGTCTCTCTAGCCTATCTCTTTCAATCTGTCTTCTCATCCCCTTTTGCTGTCTTCTCATCTCGTCTTCTCATTCTCATCGGCTTCTTTCTTTCTGGTTCTAAATCAAAGTTGCAACAAGCCTAGCTGGTTGTGCATTAGATGACATCTTGCTCAATGTTGTGCACTGATGAAGGCTCTGACACCACTTATCGGGATGCAAAAAACCCATAAAGATCCACTTACAAATAATAGACAAACACACCAAAGCACGAGATATACGTGGTTCAGCATACCTGGCCTACGTCCATGAATGAAAAGAGACAATTCACTATAAATTCCATAGACACCCAACACCCGAGTACCCAAATTATCCTGCTGGCAATGTTCGAGCCCCCCTTGGTGTACCCATTCATAAGCCTACTCAAGCCACACGTTTCCATGGTTGTCATCAATTTTTCTCCTACTCCCATCCATTTCCACATCTATATGGAGTGTGAGGTGAAGGAACTGATAAGCCCTCACAGACCTAACTCTCTTATAAGCTTACATCTCCTTCATTTTCACAAATCTCAACTGACCTAGTTATCAATTTATAAAGTTTCATTACTTAGATACTTGTTAGACAAGGAATGCAATTCCTTGGAGCCCAAGTATATCATAACAAGAACTTTTCTAAACAAAAAACCCCTCTAAAGTAGGAATATGAGACACAAAGCACAACAATCTCCACCTCGGCTTAAATTCTATTAAGCCAATTGTTGCTTCTCATGGCCATTAATTAGACAATTCATATTACTATTTAGGGGCTTCAAGTTTTTCTTGGACCATTATTGAAGATTTTGAAGAACAACTTGTGGCAGAGACATCATATCTTTATTTTGTGGAACAGAGGTCCTATTTCTTGTGAATGAGTGTGTGCTCAGATTCAGCGTTGCAACAAATCACTAGTGAAGGGAAGTGGGGTGTTGGGTGGTTTCATTGACATGGAGAGCAGCGGGCTAGTGATTCCGATGATGGGAGTCTGTATTAGTTTGGTAACTTTGCACGTCGGATGTTCACTAACAGCGGGTGATTCTTTGGGGAAGTTTGGTAATACACAATGGACAAGGACAAAACCCCACACAATTTTTTGTTCTTTATTATATATATATATATATTTCAACAATTTTTGGTATTTTTTCTTTTTCTCAAATTTTGTCGAATCTCTCATATAGTTCGTCTCTTACCTTCTTTCTCTCCCTCAACATTATGCCTTATCCCTCAACCCAAATAACTCGCTCTCCTATAAGCTATAAATCTGTTTACACTCGATCTCTCTCCAAGGAAGAAGCACGAATGCGAATAGTTCAGAAATCAACTGAGTCCATTTCTCGAGCTGAAACCGGTATTCAAGAAAAACTCTAATTAGTAATCTTGTTCTTTTCTTCAAATAACAATTCATTTTGGAAAAAGAAAAATAAAAAGAAAAGGAGCTCTAAAATCAAGAAGCTCTTGATTTTAAGCAGTAAATATGTTAAGTCTTCTTGTGATAGTTTTAGGCTCAGACAAGCTAAACATGAATTTTGTCCGAGAAGGCGTATTGCTGTAATCAACAACAGATGCCATCAATATCTTTCAGTTATAATTATTTCAAGGTGTTTGATATTGCAATCATCTTCTTATTTTTTGAAATCTTGCTTATTTATTTATTTATTTATTTTCCTAGTTGGCACTCACACACACATGCCTCCGCCGAGGTTCGAACCCTTAACTCCCTTTGGAAAGTAGGGGCTTGGTACCGCTAGGTCACGGGCCGTTGGTTTTTGAAATCTTTTTTAGTAAGAATTAATACATTATTCATTGTCCAAGAACCTCAACTACGAATAGAATCACTTGCACTGATATGAGAAATTAGAGATTTAAAAAGAAGAAGATATATTCAATATGGAAATCAAAGAAATTGTTCTTATATAATAGGAAAAATTGCAAGACATAGAGTTACCTAATGATGTAGGTATACAATCTAAAGAAAAATATGAAAATGAAAAGAAGAATGATAAAGAATTTATCAGTACATGAAGAAAGTTGCATGACCAATTCTTTTTACTAGAGATGCATGGTAAAAAGATAATCTATCTAATTTAGAGAGAAAATCTAACTGGAAACTTCGTATTCATAAAGCATAAATTGGTAAGAGATGTGAGTCAATTAGTCAAGATTTGCGGAAGTCCTTTGGATGGAATTGAAAGATACTAGTAAGGTGCTTAAAAATGATAACCTCTACTTGTTATATATGATTTATTTATTTATTTTTAATCTTATTATTATCCATAGTAGCCCCAACTAGAATAAATCTCTGGTTCTGTCACTGCACAAAGAATTTGTACTCTTTCTTCCTCATAGTGGAATTATGTGCCTGGGATGGTGTCCTTGTGGTTCCTCCTAGAGTTTTTCACGTAAATGTTTGGCGTCTCTCTCTTACTTTACTGCTTATGTTTGTTTGGTTGATTGGTTAATTTGGTTGAAATTTACAACAAAAAAACCAAAGTTTTTCCCAACTTTTGGGGGTCGGTTATTATATCTTTCCTTACTAATTCTACTCATGTTAATTTTGGTCATCTCCTTCCTCTAGCGTTACCCTGAATGCATACCATCTCATTTTCCCTAACTGGTGCACTAAGTGGTCCTCTTTACACATTTCCAAACCATCTTAATCAATTTCCTCTCACTTTATCTCCAATTGGTTCTACTTCAACCATCTTGTGAATCTGTTCATTTATGAAATATAGAACTTCCCTTTTATCTCCAATTGGAGGTACTTCAACAATTTATAAGATAAAGAATGTCTGTTATAATAGCTCTGTTTATAGAACTTCCCTTTTAATCCTAGAGGGATGCGTTGATCATAAAATATACTAGGCAAAATTATCAAAAAATAAAATAAAAAATATACCAGGCACACTCCATTTAAACCCATTCTTCCTTGACTTTGCGGTTAACATCTCCAATTTGGTTGAAATTTCAACTTGGTAATTTGTTAAGTTCAAAATTGTTTGAAACAGGGAAGTAGACCTATTAATCCCCTTTATGTCTGCACATTGCCACAAAAACCATCTAAACTGCTTTCACAGCATCACTGTCAATGATTTGGTTGCTTGGCAAAACCTTGAGTTAGTATATGCTTCTGCATATGTGGGACCTTCCGTCAACTAACTTAAATTTGTGAGGACTTCCATATAAGAAGCTGGGATATTTTTTTTACGGAAAAAAAAAAAAAACTGGGATATTTTCCTACCATGTTTCTTTGGGTACAGAGTGGAACTCATCATTTATTTTTCTGTCTTCCTACTCTATTATCATTCTTTTCATCAGTGACGTGTATCAGCCTTTAAACTACCTTCAGCTCCTTTAACTGCACAGAAAAATAACGAAAGAAGAAAAACAGAAAGAAAATGAGGGAAATCTAATTGTATTGGTTAAAATTCTCGCATCATTCAGTACATTGGTTTTCATATAATTGTCAGAAATTAGAGTTGCTTTATAACCGAGTTCATTAATCTCATGGATGTATTTTGTTGATAGGGATTTCGGAAGATTGATCCTGAAAGATGGGAATTTGCAAATGAAGATTTTGTGAAAGATCAAAAGACTCTTCTTAGAAATATACACCGCAGGAAACCGATTCATAGCCACAGTAACCCTCAAGGATCTCCAGTTGATTTAGAGAGAGCATCATATGATGAAGAAATTGATAAACTTTCACGTGAGAAAGCTGCTCTTGAGGCAAATGTTTTGAAGTTCAAAGAGCAGCAATCTGCTGCAAAACTGCAGTTGGAAACCCTAACTCAGCGAGTAGGTGGCATGGAGCAGAAGCAAGAGAAAGTACTGGCCTACTTAGAAAAGAAAGTTCAGGACCGTAATTTTGTTGAACATCTTACTCGTAAACTTGAATCCATGGATTTCTCAACATATAATAAGAAGAGGCGACTACCTCAAGTTGATTGCTCTCAGTCAGTTCCAGAAAACAGTTCTGTTGACAATCATTGCAGCCCTAGACATGATTCTGGGAACATTTTCAACCAAGATTTCTCAATGCTCAGACTAGAACTATCTCCAGCTGTTTCGGATATTAATTTGGTTTCACATAGCACTCAAAGCTCCTACGGAGATGAGGAAAGTCCTCAGAGGAGAATATCTGAAGGATACCCAAAAGATGCACAGATGATAATGGATGGTTTTGAATTTGCCCCTGAAACATTAGAGCTTTCAGATACTGGGACGACATCTTTAACATTTACGATGGACTCGTCTTTGTCAAGCAGAGCAGGCGCTGATGAGAGCCTGAGAATGCATTCTTTGCAGCAAAATTTGAATTCTAATGAGGAAGATGATAGTCATATCTCCTGCCACTTAAATCTTTCACTAGCATCATCTTCATTGCAAATTGAGCAAAATCATGATTCCTCTAGGATGCCCCAACTATGTCAAGACATTGTCAAATCTCCACTGCCAAGGTCAAGTGCCACTGTCAAAGATGCTGATATTGGAGTTTCCCTGAAGAACAGATCCTTTTCTGATGATCATACAACTATGTCTTCCTCACAAGAGGCACTGACGAACAATCCAGAGTCTGCAACTGCTCAAGTCCGATGTAATGATGTATTCTGGGAACAATTCCTAACTGAAAGACCAGGCTGTTCAGATACTGAAGAGGCAAGCTCTAATTTCATGGCAAACCCCTATGACGAGCTAGAAGAAAGAAGATCAGGCCATGGAGCGACCGGAAATGTAAAGATTGTGAAACATCTCTCACTCTGAGCACCAAAGTTGCATTTGGACCGAGTGACAATATGTTCAAGGCTTCTCCGTACTCACTGCCATATTCTGTAAGATTCACATCTCATCAAACCATATAATATTTAAGACTTTGTTGACTTCAGACAATCTTAATCCAAACCAAATGAGATGATTCTGTATGTGCCAAAAATTTTGTTCCTAGTTGATTATATAGCTCATGGTTATTCTAGGGTCGTTCTTCTGGAGCAACTGCATTAACTTTTTGGCATGGATGCTTACCTTGTAAAATGAAATGTTTGTTTGGATGGTAATGGTAACTAAAGTTTGTTTAATAATTACGTGACGATTAATAGATTCAGTACTGTGTGAAGTTGGTATGTTGTCCCTTCTCTTAATTTGTATTTAAAAGGTTTCTTCTATTCTTTTATCTGCTTGGAAGTTTAAGGTCTTTGGTATCATCTGAAGTGTGATTCAGATAAACAGTGGCGAACTATGCATTCTTTACCTATAGAAGTCTTGATTGTATCTTTAACTTGTTCATGTCGATACATGTCTAGTGGATATTGTGCATGGCGGTTAATGAGATGGCTTGCAAAGTATTAATAGGAACAGTATCGGTCATGGTCGTGGTGTAACGGACTCGGACAAAGTCAGTGTAAACTGACCGATACGGATCGCGCATGAGACTTGAAAAAGGGTAGCGTATCGGACGATACGGCGAACCCATATATGCATAACTTCAGGGTTTACTCTCTCTCTCTCTCTCTCTCATTCTGCGCGATTTCTTTCACCGTGTGCTCGAGGGGAATCTCTTCCCAAACAGTAAGGCCTTCCTCCAGCTCTAATTCACCACCGGGACACCGGGATGGATCGGAATGAAATTTCTTTCCCAGCGGAAGATGGACTCCCCCATCCCGTCCAGAGCTACTGAGTCCCGTCTAAAGTGATGATTTACCTTAAGGTGTTAGATTATCATATATGGGATGTTGTTGATGATGATCCTCTTATTTCATTTAGAATGGAAGGATAAGAAAAAATTTGAGAAAGATATAAGTGAATGGAATGAAGATGATTATAAATTAGAAGAGCTAAACAATAGAGGCATCTATAATCCCTATTGTGCACTTTGTGATGAAGAGTTCAACAGAGTCTCTTCAAGCAAAATTGCCAAAAAAAATTGGAAAAAAACTTGAAGTTATCCACAAGGGGACAAGTCAAGTTAAAAGACACTATAATTAATTTGCTAGTTTACTCCGTGGTGTAATGGAATCGAATCTGTATCGGTTGTGTAATGGAATAGATTATCGCAATGGATTTTTTATTTTTTTTGTTTATTTATAGACTTGTATATAGACCAATATACACCGATATCCTAAATTTTACAACAAAATTCACATAAAGATGTATTTTTTTTTAGTGAATTTTAATAAATTTTATTGAATTTTTAAAGATTATTTAGCAAAAGTAATGGATTATTAATAATTTTAAATTACTGCCATTATTAAATATACTTTATATTATACTTTTTATTAAAACAATTAATTAAAATAAAATTTAATTTTGAAATAAATGAATCAGTAATTTAGTTCTAAAAAAAATTAAATAAAATTATTTTTAATAAGTCATCCCTAGTATAATATTTAATTTAATAAAATTATTTTTAATAACTAAGGATCACACACAAATCAATGCATGATATAATATGCTCAAAATTTTTTTTATTTCTTGGAAATAGAAGCTCCCCTGAGCAGGGCCCCTTAGGGACCCACCCCAAGTTACAAACCTGGACTATGAGCACCGGCCCCTCAACACGCGTAGCAGTAAATCGAGAGGAATAGATAGTTTGGGAAGAGTCGAACACTGGCCATTTCAAACCTTGCGCCGAGCTCCAACCATCACAGTGATGCCCCGGGGGCATAATATGCTCAAAATTCAATTCTGATTATATATTTTTTGTATGTTTTTGTATTAATGAGAACAACTTCATATTTCACACAAAATTGTGCAATACATTATTAATTTATCTCTTAAAATCCTAATATTTTATTCCTCTTAGACTTCAATTAAATCACGTATTGCAACTTATGTATCACTTAATTTCAATCCAACCAACTATTATTATTATGTTTATGGTAAAGACAAATGTGTAGTGTCTCACCATCACCTATTAGCTTTTGAGGCTAGAGGCCAGCCCAGGCCAGGCCAGCCCAAATCTTTAATTTTGCTCTAAACTTGTTTTCATTTTAATCCATAATTATTATTAGACCAAAATTTCAACCGACTCTAAATTTTGAAGTTTTTTTTAACGTATTTACAGTTATTTTAAACTTGTATTAATCTGAATTTTTACTAACCCTAAAATTTAAAAAAGAAAAAGCACCTTATAATAGTATATATCTATATATATATATCTATATATTTGGGAAAGGGTTGGGAAGAAATATATATCAACCGTCGTCAGCCAAAAACCCTAGAGGAGTAGTGGGTATTGCTGGTTCAAGAGCGCCTAAGAAGATTAACAATCAGGTGAGTTGCCTCATAAGTCATAACAGTGTCTATCACATTTCTTTTCCAATGATTCATTTATACTGTAAAACACTAGTTCGTTTTAGATGCTCTTCTGTTTTGGATTCAAAAATCCATAAATTGTATGCCCTTCAAACCCATCCACTGTCTTCATCTCTCAAATCCTTCTCAACTTCCACAAATCAACACTCATTTACAGTCAATTACCTCGTTAATTCATGTGGGTTAAGTCCAGAAACTGCTATTTCAGCTTCCAAAAACGTCAATTTCAAAACCCTAGACAAACCAGATTCAGTTCTCGACTTCTTCAAGAACCATGATTTCAGCAAAACGCAGATCTCAGCTGTCATCAGAGTACGCCCAAAACTTCTCTTATCGGATCCCACGAAGACCCTTCTGCCCAAATTCGACTTCCTTTACTCCATTGGCATTTCCAGCACTGAGCTCGCGAAGATAGTATCCACTAACCCTGATATGTTGCTACGCAGTTTGGAGAACCAAATCATTCCATCTGTCAATTTGTTGAAAAATTTTTATCGGTGCCTTTAAACGATTTCCTCAGATTGTAGCGCGTGATCTCAATGCTGTTACATTTCCCAACATTGAAATTTTGAGACAACATGGCGTGCCGGACTCGAAAATTGTGTACTTACTTACATATCAGCCTAGGTCATTGGCGATAAAGCATGATGGTTTCAATGAGGTAGTGGAGGATGTTAAGAAAATGGGTTTCAACCCTTCAAGCTTCCAGTTTGTCTCAGCGATTCATGCATTGAGGTCAATGAGCAAATCAACATGGAGAAGGAAGATGGAGGTTTATGAGAAGTGGGGTTGGTCTGAGGAAGAAACAATGAGCGCGTTTAGAAGAAGACCAGGGTGTATGACGGTATCCGAGTCTATGATAATGGCAAAGCTGAATTTTATGTCAACACAATGGGTTGGGAGTCTTCCTCAATTGCCCGTCGGCCAGAATTAATGACAATAAGCTTGGGTAGGAGGATAATTCCCAGGTGTTCAGTACTTCAAGTTTTGTTGTCCAAAGGTCTGATTAAGAAGCCCAATAGCGAATTGACATTGTTGAATCCCACAGAGAGTTTGTTCCTCAAGAAGTTTGTAACCTGTTATGAGGAAGCTCCTCAGTTGTTAAAACTATATCGAGAAAAATTGGAGCTTTCAAAATTACACGGTCATGATTAGTGATTACGAAGGTAAGAGTGGAACATATCAGTTGTAGATTGTCTACTTCGTAACTGAAGTGGCTTACACAACCCCTGCACTTGCTCTCATTTCCACCCTCTTCTGTCACACCACCACCTTTTCGAATTAAGTCTTTAGAACAATATTTTTCTTTTTAGAATTTTTATGATCGTAATTTGTTTTTTGTTTTTTGTTTTTTGTTTTTTTGGGTCCGTATTAATTCGATATCAATACAAAATGCTTAGAGATATAGCATTTTATAACAATTCCTTAAGCAGCTGCTGTGGTTCGATCTACTCCCGAGATACAAGCTTTCATAGTATTTGTATTGCGTTGCATTCATTCTTTCTTTGATATGGTTATATGTTTACATGCATATTATATTTATGGTGATGAAACATTATCTGAAGACAACTTAATTACTAATACTAATTTTCTTTCTGGTGCGTGTGTCAATCTATTATTCTAGAAATATAAAGTTAAGTAGATTCTAATTGTCTGAGTAATCAGTAATCACATAACAAATCACATTTGTTTATAATTTAAGCTCTTTTATTCATTATATGACATCATCAATACAGCATGAAAATTTAAGCTCGTTTTATAAAAATTTCCATGTTGGGAGGTGGTGGAGCTGTGTTTCGGGATTCATCTGGGTCCATTCTTCAAGCAGTGATTTTCAAACCGTTTTCATCATCTTCGGTGCTATTAGCGGAGACTTTCTGCTTTAGAAACACAGTGTATTGGGCTCGGTTATTCAATTTTCAGGCTGTATGTTTTGAATCGGATGCCAAACTGGTGGTGGATGCTTTGGCTGGGGCAAATGCTGGTAAAATTGAGATTTCTTCTCTGCTATACGACATCAATACAGAATTAAGAAAACTTTCATGGGTCTCATGTTCGACGAAATGGTAATCGGATAGCTCATGCTCTAGCAGGCGTGTCGAGAGGTGATATGGATTCGGGTATGGTGCTGTCTTCACTCCCTTCTTCCATCTATCAGTTCCTCAAGCAAGATGTTGGTATTGATGGATGTTAGTTATTGCTTTGTTTTTCTGTTTTGTGCTTTGTTTTCCCAGAAAAAAAAAAAAGAAATATCATTATTATTGTCTCGTTACTCTTATATTCCCTCTTCATCTACCCCCAACCCCTTGGTGCAGTGAATATATATATATATATATATATATATTAAGAAGTTTGAAATTGAAATATTGGTGTTTTACATCGGATTAAATAAAAAGATTCTGGCGCCCTCTCTATTCAGATTGTTTAAGAGTAAATATACCGGGCGGTTGCTTATTAAGAGCGAATATACTAATTGGTTGAATTTAAGCTGGCTGCTCATTAAGGGCAAATATACCTGTCGGTAGAATTTAAGCTAATTGACGAGATGGATCCGCCGAAGCTGGCAAATTCAAAGAGACGTAACAAAGAACTCCCACAATATAGTCTTTTGTAACCCAATATATAAGGGCGTTTAGGGTTTAGAGTGGAGGTAAAGAGAGATTCTGAAATTCGTACAGAAACAGAGTGAGGGCTGAAAACTTGTAATCTACGGTTTGTCACGTTGTGAAAACTTTCGTCGGATTTTAACCGTGGACGTAGGCTGTTTCCAAATCAGTATAAATCTTTGTCTCTTTGTGTGGCGTGTTTACTTTTCTATTTCGATTCTTGATTCAACTTGGGTTTGTTGTGATTGTCTTAACAAAAACCATTCTTAGTACACCACAAAGTACCGCTGAATTTGTGGTTTGTATGACGATGACTTGCTTTATATTTCTAATAATTGATATCAAAGACCAATGTTTTTGTTATTTCTTTTGCGGGTCCCTTGGATTGCACTTTACGAGGTTGAATAACTATAGATAATGAAGTAGTTTGGAAATGTCTTTGAAATAGGCAGCACATGAATTCAACAATTTGGGGCTTTACAAGCCCTTGTTGCTTCGTCAGGCAGTTCATTTCAAACTTGTTGTTTCCTAAGGTACATCCTTAGAAATGCTTTAAACTTTGTATGAAGATCCCTTAAAGCTTGTTTGGCATAACTTTTGCTTCAATTCTTATACAAAAGAAAAAGAGAAGCAAAAATTATCACTTCTATTTGGCTTATTTTTTTAGTGTTTGGAACATATATTTTAGAATAACTTTTTATGTCAAAAGAATTTTTATGTCTGTTTGAAAAAACAATTATTGAAGCTATTCTCTTATTAAAATAATTATTTTGCCCCTTAATCACCGTATAAATAAACCATTCAATATAAAAAGGAAATAAAAAGAATAGACAAAATAACAACACAAAAATAACAAACAGATAACAGAGATTGAAAAATAGCAATGGATCCCGATTGGTTAGAAATTGGAGCAAAGAGATTCTCAGCATAACTCAAAACACCAGTGTGTGTGTGTCTGTGTGTATATATAGGTAATAATTTTTTTTTTTCTTTTTTGACGGCATAAATAAGAATTTTCTGCAACTAAGAATTTTTTGTTTCTATAATTTAAATCCCCTGGGCAAGTGTTGCTTCTTTAGCCCTTAAATTTGCTTTAAACCATGAGATCTGGTTGATTTTTTTGCTATTTTTCATGACTCCAGATTAGGGTTAGAAATTTTTTTTGGCCATGTTTGAAAGATTTTATTTGCTCATTAATCTACCATCGTGATTAAGTGGCTGGAATCACATTCAAAGCTTATATATATATAAACATAAAAGATCAAATATTTGTGTGGCAGAAGATATGGAGGTTTAGTGCAGTGGAAATAGCCAGTTAAAATTGCCAATGACCCTCGTAGGAGAAGCAGGAATGGTTGTTTGCCTGAGGATACCGCCTCTGGAAATTATGCGAGAGCTTTGTCATGCACTAGGGTTTAAGAAGAATATAAGTGAGTGTTATATAGGGACACGTTTGGAATTCTATTTTTTTACTGAATAATAAAAGGGGTACTCTTGAAATTTAAAAAGTTTAACTTAAACAACAATTTAGCTTCCCTTGTCTTTTTAGCTTCTTCAAAATGCTCTTCCAAAGACAAAAAGCTCTTTTAAAAAAATAGCTAAATACTACTCAAAACAGCTTCCAGATTCAAAAAGCCAAAAGTTGTGTTTCAAAAGCCAATCCAAACAGGGCCTTTAGTACGTTGTCATTCTAAATTTCTTCTAGTGGGTCTTGGTGTTCTGTGAGGAAAATGGCTGATACTCAATAGGCTGGAGCTTCCAATCCTTGGAATCTGCTGCATTGTGACTGTCACCATCTGGATAAGATGGTGGAAGCTGGGTCGCTAAAGGGTGGATTATTATTCCCTCAAATTAATTATGTTTAATGGATTAAATTGAAATTATTTTTTTTAATTTTTTTTTTTTTTTAAATCAGTTGGTGGTCATTAAAATTATGTAGAAATATAATAAACTTATTTGGGCTAAAGCATGAAGGACGTGTCCACCTCATATACCTGTAGTGTTGTAAGAATGTAAGGATAGAAGAAAATAGAGAAAGCAAAGAAACAGAAAGAGAACAAGAGATCTGATGCACCATTATTAGAGCTGTATCTGCATTAGGTGGAGGTCAGAGATTGAATATTTGATCCACCATTATTAGTCCATCGTCTGTTCTTAAGCCTGAGTATGTTCCGATGAACTCCAAGACTGATTGTTATGCCTTTGCCCATTGTATCCATGAGGTATCTGAGTCTGAGGAGGCACAAAGGGGTATCCATACCAAGAACCATATTGGCAGATTCATGGAGCGCACGCCTACCCTGCCCTAGTGCCCTTGGAGAGAATGTGCAAAGTTTAATGTTCTACTACTAGTTTTTGTGGGGTTACCTCTGGATTCTAACATGTAGTTTACCTCTGGCATCTAATTCACCCTTGGTATTTTCTATTACATTGGAAATGGTATGTGATTATTGGATGAAGGTGCTAATTTTATTTTATTTTTATTTATCCTGATGGCCAGGGCCGGTGCTACATTGTAGGTATTCCAAAATACTTTATCAATTGCTCGTTTTTGTGATGTGAGGGTGAAGGTCTTGAAACTCAAGGATCCAACACTACAATTGTGAAATACTATTTTGTTATGTATTTATTTATTGATTGGGTAAAGAACAAGAAGAAATATTAGTTAGAATTACGATTATATACATAAGCATTAGAGCCCATTTGATGTTGCTATTAGAGAGAGAGAGAGAGAGAGGAAAAAAAAAAAAAAATTTCAATAGAGTTGTAAAAAAAATTGTTGCCCATGGCAAGATGTTAAATATTTGGTGACATAATATAATAAATATTTTTATTACTAATTTTATAATAATATTTTTTTAATAGGATGCTATCATATTTGATAATGACAACTTTGTGGAGGGTAAAAAGATAAAATTGTCTAAAAGAAAAATATTACCAAAATATTCGATGTTTACCCACAACACAATTTATAAAAGCTTCAGTGTATCAAAGAGTTACCTAAAATTAATGTATAAAAAAAAAGGAAAGGAAAAACACCTTATTTTAATATATATATATATATATTCCGTATATAGAGTGAAAAATTAAACTGAAAAAGAGTCAAAGATATATATCAAACGACATCGTGTGCTCTATTATTTGCATTTCTTTCGTCTTAACCTTGCTTCAGCCAAAAGCCCTCGAGGAGTAGGTATTGCTGGTTCAAGAGCGCCTAAGAAGATTAACGATCAGGTGAGTTGCCTCAAAACAGTGTCTATCACATTTCTTTTCCAATGATTCATTTATACTGTAAAACACTAGTTCGTTTTAGATGCTCTTCTGTTTTGGATTCAAAAATCCATAAATTGTATGCCCTTCAAACCCATCCACTGTCTTCATCTCTCAAATCCATCTCAACTTCCACAAATCAACACTCATTTACAGTCAATTACCTCCTTAATTCATGTGGGTTAAGTCCAGAAACTGCTATTTCAGCTTCAAAATACATCAATCTCAAAACCCTAGACAATCCAGATTCAGTTCTTAACTTCTTTAAGAACCATGATTTCAGCAAAACCCAGATCTCAGCTGTCATCAGACTACGCCCAAAACTTCTCTTATCGGATCCCATGAAGGCCCTTCTACCCAAATTCGACTTCTTTTACTCCATTGGCATTTCCAGCACTGAGCTCGCGAAGATAGTATCTACTGACCCTAGTATGTTGCTACACAGCTTGGAGAACCAAATCATACCATCTGTCAATTTGTTGAAAAATTTACTTAATTCAGAGGATAAGTTTATCGTGGCCTTTAAACGATTTCCTCAGATTGTAGTGCGTGATCTCAATGCTGTTACATTTCCCAACATTGAAATTTTGAGACAACAGGGCGTGTCGGAGTCAAATATTTTGTACTTACTTACATATCAGCCTAGGTCATTGGCGATAAAGCATGATGGATTCAATGAGTTAGTGGAGGATGTTAAGAAAATGGGTTTCAACCCTTCAAGCTTCAAGTTTATCTGGGCTATTCATGCATTGAGGTCAATGAGCAAATCAACATGGAAAAGGAAGATGGAGGTTTATGAGAAGTGGGGTTGGTCTGAGGAAGAAACAATGAGCGCATTTAGAAGAAGACCAGGGTGTATGATGGTATCCGAGGAGATGATAATGGCAAAGCTGAATTTTTATGTCAAAACAATGGGTTGGGAGTCTTCCTCAATTGCCCATCATTCAGAACTAATGACAATAAGCTTGGGTAAGAAGATAATTCCCAGGTGTTCAGTACTTCAAGTTTTGTTGTCCAAAGGTCTGATTAAGAAGCCCAATAGCGAATTGACATTGTTGAAGCCCAAAGAGAGTTTGTTTCTCAAGAAGTTTGTGAACTGTTATGAGGAAGCTTCCCAGTTGTTGAAACTATATCGAGAAAAATTGGAGCTTTCAAAATTACACGGTCATGATTAGTGATTATGAAGGTAAGAGTGAAACATATCAGTTGTAGATTGTCTACTTCGTAACTGAAGTGACTTACACAACCCCTGTACTTGCGCTCATTTCCATCCTCTTCTGTCACACCACCACCTTTTCGAATTAAGTTTTTATGAACAGTATTTTTCTTTTTAGAATTTTTATGATTGTACAAAATGCTTTGAGATGTTGTGTAGCATTAATATGTCTTTAATTAATCATGCACGCATTTAGCTGAATAATTTACTGGTTTTTGTGCAACTCTGACTTTGCAAGATCTTCCTCCTAATCTTTAATTTGAAGCATATAGATAAACTAAATTCCAGTATGTTACTGGAAGATTGCTAATTTAATTCAGTTCTACTTCAATATAGCATTTTATAACAATTCCTTAAGCAGTTGCTGTGGGATTTCATAATGGAGTGAACATGCTTAGCTGTTCTACTCCCGAGACACGAGCTTTCATAGGATTTGTATTGCATTGCATTCATTCTTTCTTTGATATGGTTAAATGTTTACATACATATTATATTTATGGTGATGAAACTTTATCTGAAGACAACTTAATTACTAATACTAATTTTCTTTCTAGTGTGTGTGTTAATCTATTATTCTAGAAATATAAAGTTCAATAGATTCTAGTTGTCTGAGTAATCACATAACAAATCACATTTGTTTATAATTTAAGCTCTTTTATTCATTATATGACATCATCAATAGAGCATGAAAATTTAAGCTCTTTTTATAAAAATTTCGGTGTTGGGAGGTGGTGGAGCTGTGTTTTGGGATTCATCTGGGTCCATTCTTCAAGCAATGATTTTCAAACCGTTTCCATCATCTTCGGTGCTATTAGCGGAGACTTTCTGCTTTAGAAACGCAGTGTATTGGGCTCGGTTATTCAATTTTCAGGTTGTACGCATGTTTTGAATCGGATGCCAAACACGTGGTGGATGCTTTGGTTGGGGCAAATGCTGGTAAAATTGAGATTTCTTCTCTGCTATATGATATCAATATAGAATTAAGAAAACTTTCACGAGTCTCATGTTCAACAAAATGATAATCGGATAACTTATGCTGTGGCAAGCGTGTCGAGAGGTGATATGGATTTGGATATGGTGCTGTCTTCACTCCCTTCTTCCATCTATCAGTTGCTCAAGCGGGATGGTGCTGTCATCTTTTTAGCATGTACCTTATGTAGGATTAGCTGGAGCTCCTGCACTTGGCTCATAACAATCTTAGAGTCCACCATTTTAAAGTCTTGAAATCGTCCGACCACGAATTTCTTCAAACCAGCATCCTCTATTTTATATTTCTTGTCTAGTGACTCCCATAGCTCTTTAGCAGTATTGATCGGACTATACACATTATATAACGTGCTGTAAAATCCATTGAGGATGTAGTTCTTGCATAGGAAATCTCTTTGCTTCCATGCATCAACAGCTCATACTTTTGTAATGTCAGTCTCACCTGGCCTCTTGTAGCATTCAAGCAATCTTAGTTAGGAACTTGCTCAAATTTAGAGTTATAAGGTAGAACATCATTTTTTGTTACCACCATTTGAACTCCGCCTCATTAAACTTTTCGGGCTTTTCCTCATGACTGACAGGAACATTAGGTGTAGTTGTACTCATACTTGCCATTTGTCTAAATATATGAAATATACAAACCACAATTCAATTTACAAAAATATAATATACCAATTGTTTACTACATTATTTTTTGGCCCAATGGAAAGGCGACATGTGGCGAGTTCCAATGAGCTTGCCACATTAGATTGATGCTTTAAAATGTCCAAAAGAGGAAGCGTGATGTGGAATTGCTGAAGTTCGATCTTGTGTCATCCACCAATAGGGAGGAAGTATGTGGCGAGTTCCAATGGAACTTACCACACTGGATTGCAATTCTTATAAATTATTATTGAAAGCTATACAGTATTACAAATGGATCAGTATAGTTTTGCTATGCTATATGGGTTATTTTCTATTTTTGTTAAAAGGAAAGAGGCAAGTCCAATTAGGACTTGCCATCTTTAAGAAGTAAGGGCCCATATTTTCCTATATGAAATGAATTGTACCATATATGTCGAGTTTCACTGAGCTTACCATAATCCTGACCATAACATTTTAATTCTGTTAAAGAGTTATTATCATGGTTTCAATAAATAGAGACTTACCTGAGGTGTAAGGCCAAAATCACCAAAGAAGGAGAACATGGGGTTGATTTTCTCCTTGTTTTTAGGAGAATTCAACGACTGTTTAGCCAAGTCAAAGTAATATTGCAAAAAAAGGAAGGAAGCGCGGGAACTTAATTTGTTGTTATAAATATATTTAACCCACGATGCAGTAACCACTAAGAAAAAGGAGTCCATGGCGCTAGGTGTTCTAAATTTAGATGAGGTAAGGCTGAAAGGAAGTGGGCTTTAACCACGACCCATGATGTCAAATCAATAGGAGAATGAAAGTTAACCACGACGTTGTGAAGGTCAACCTAAAATGAAGGAGGCATGGTCCATGGAAGGAAAGGGTGTGGGATGATTTTTATCAACAGCCGAACCTTTCCTTCAGAAGGGCCGAACCTTTCCTTCAGAACGGCCGAACCTTTCTTTCAGAAGGGCCGAACCTTTGGTTTATAACGGCTAAACCTTTCCTTCAGAACGGCCGAACCTTTCCTTCAGAAGGGCCAAACCTTTGGTTCAGAACGGCCAAACCTTTGGTTCAGAAGGGCCGAACCTTCGGTTCAAAATGGCCGAACCTTTCCTTCAGAATGGCCGATTGCGTCTTAGAGCATTTTGGACAATGGATTGACTCGTCTAACAGTTATGGACATAGGAAATGGATGGTATGACTTAGTTGACCTCGGGTTCGGGTAACGACCAGGTTAATGATTCGAACCCATATATATATATATATATATATATATATGTCAGTTATAGTCCATGACGAAGAAGATGTTAAAATTCAGGAGGCCGCGATGTTGTAGCAGATTCAAGTAAGGAAGTTCAAATCAAATAGGGGAAACGTGGGTCTGTGATAATTCCTATATACATGTATATAGAATAAGAGGAGAAGAAGGATTCTAAGGAAGAAAGAGACTGTAAGAATCATGGGACATTTGGCCAATTAAGGATACGTCGGTTAAAGGTGGTGGTATTTCATGCAACTGTTTCCACCAATTGAAGGGAAGTTGTCATCAGTTATGAAGAGCAAGTCTAGCTAAATCGTGTTTGAAGGAAGAGATATTTGCGACAGAAGAAAGGGAGCAAAAAATTGTTGCAGACATGATGGAAGAAGTTGGAGGAAAGAAGTTGTAACTGCTAGAAGGACGTGGAGTACGTGACAGCTTGAAATCAATACGTGGAAGTCGCTGAAGTTGCCACATTAAGTTGCTATATGCATGAAAAGCTCTATAAATAGAGAACTTAGGCTTCACTTGTAAACCCTGTTCAAATCACATAGCCCAACAACACTTCAATTTCTTTACATTTATGTATCTTTACATTCATGTAATACACCTTCAATATATTTAATTCAAGTCCTGCACTTATTATTCTTACTTTCCAGCACTTTACTTTGAAGTCCTGCACTTTCAATACTTTTTTCCTTTCCACTAGCCATAGAATAGTCCAAAAGTCCTTTTTCAAGGCAAAAAGAACCTCCGAAAATGGTAATTCTAGTCCTTCGTACAATCGCCTAATCCCTACAATCATCTACTAGATAATTGTTCGGATATCCACTTTGGAACAACAACAGTTCCTGGCACGCCCAACATTCACCCTCCTTTTTGCACTTGGAAAAGATCACGGTTTTTAGGAGCCGAACATCTTGGCACGCCCGGCGGGACCTTTTAACATATTGTTCAATGGCCGGTGGAAGAAGGCAAGGCAAGTTTGTCCAAGACCTTGCCGAACTAGAAGAGTTGCAAGCCAGTGAACTTCCAGTGGAAAGTTTACGATTTGCACCTGATGAAAATGATATGGTGGAAAAATTTACTCAAATAATGGCAAATGGACCCATCATGGACAACATCCACATGATGGCAATGCAGCAAGATAGGTTTGCGTAAGACCAAGCAAAAGTCGCTCAAGACCAAGCAAAAGTCGCTCAAGACTTAGCCAGAGTTATGCAAGACCAATCAAAAACTATTCTTTCCCAAGACCGGAAGTTAGAATAAATGGTAGATCGAATCTCTCAAAGGTTTGAGTCTATGTTAGAACAGACCCTTGGAAGCTCGAACCAAGGTTTGGCCCTTCGGCCAAACAACTCTGAAGGGTTTCAGCATTCGGCCTTTCAAGCTAGCAGGCCGACCACATTTGTTGAAGGAAGTTCCTCTCAGCAACATGCAGGGTCGTTCCTTCCAACTCAACAGCAGATGCAGCCCCTTCCAATGGCACAGACTTACATTCCAGCTGCACCTGTGACCGTTTCATTGGCACAGATGACTATTCCATAAGCGGTGCCCATGCCAGCCATTCAGCAAGTTCAGAATCTTCCACCCGTGGCGTTTCCATAGCAGATTTGGTACAATTAGCCAGGCCAACCATGACCATACCACATCCCTCAAGCACAACAAAACGTTCCACCTGTGAACATTCAGCCAGTCGCATCTGCTCCTCCAAGGCCATTAATGGTCATTCTAATGGCAGTTGGGGGGCAACCTTTTCCAAAGGAGCCATTTTTTGACCAAAGAGGAAGGAACCGTGGTAGGAACAATTATGGAGATGCCAACCTATTGCTAATGGCGGGTGAGGGGCATCAAGTGGCCAATCAACCTTAAGGTTGGCCAGACAACAACCCTCCACAGCCTAGGGCACTTGATAGAGGCCAATTTGTAGAATTCCTTCAACAGGAATTTAGCCTAACTCGAAGGGTTAGAAGGCCAACTTACAGAAAGCCCTTCCTAGAGTTCATTGATGAAGTTGAATTTCCAAGGAATTTCAGAATTCCTGAGTTTGCAACGTTCAATGGAGAGGGCGAACAGTCCACATTGGAACATATCGG